TATATATACATAAGAAGCTAAATGTAGCAAAAAGCTAAAATAAGAAGAAAGATAGTTAAAAGAATCACAGCACTACAAAAACAGAGCCTTGTGCTGAAGTAGATTTTTAAAGAGAACAACATTTTGAAGGCATTAACAAGTCTCTTCTGAGTGGAATCTAGCTGTAAATTAAATGTATTATTTTAAAAAGTAAACAGAATTGTGTGAAAAAAGATTAGTCATTAAAAATGACTAATTTACAGACATTTATCCTCTAACCAGGAGAAAACTGGGAGAAAAGTTGATTAACGTAGAAAAGTGAGAGGATGTGAGAAATATCTGATAAATCCACAGACTAACACCTCCCTCCATCCCCTGACATTTATCAGCCTTTTTTCACCAATTAAACATTGTCGACTCTTTTTATTGTTGTGTAATAAGTGTGAGGAGACGTCCAACAAACCCTTCCTCCCAACACAGAGATGAATAAACACAGTTTATATATATATATTTATTATACTGTATCTGTGGATTACAGCTGAATCCACCGTCTGATTAAAACAAGCGTCTCCAGCTCAGAGCACAAACAGTTTGTAGAAACTAAGAGTGGTGTGAGTGGTCAGGGTGCAGTTCAGGAGGGTTTAGATCAGGAGCAGTGGTTAGATGTGGACTAACTGAAGAAATATGACTCACTAMTAACAGGACTTGTTGCAAAATGACTGACTTGCAGTAAAATCTTTTTTTTTTTTTTTGTTTCTCAGAATGGACGTCCAGACTGTGACAGTTCTACCTGACTTCAGGTTTTCTGACTGACAGCCAGTCCAGTTCTCTTCTGTCTATATAAATATTATCAGTTTCATGCCTCCCTGTGGGTTTACTTCTTGTTGTAGAAGAAGAGAAACTGATCAGAMAGGCACAGGCTGATGTTTACAGAGGTTATGATTGAAATAAATTTCTCCAAGTGTTGCTTTGACTTGTTCCATCCCAGGGTCCAGCTGCTTTCTGTAACAACTGTGCAGCTAAAGAGCTCTTCTGTTTGAATTTYTCTTTTCTCTTTTTGTCAACTAATTAATCAAAGAAAGAGAGAAAACAAAAAGTTTTGAGGCTACCAATAAAAAACTTTACTGAAATATGTAAATCTTTGTTTTGAAAATGTTACAAGAGAAAATTTAACTTTACTTTAATGTGGAATAGTTTAAACGGATTTTAATCAATAGGTAATTAAGTAAGTGAGTGAATAAGTGAGTGAGTGAGTAAACATGAGACTCACCACTCAAAGTCGTCCTGGGTGCAGTCACAGGAGCCTGTCGTCATGGTCACAGAGTAGGTCTTTCCCATCACACACCTGGAGGTGGGCTTCAGCTTCCTGTAGATCCTCTTCACTCCCATGAGGCACGGCTCACCCTGCACATCACCGTTTCAACACGAGCAAAGACAAAGTCTCAGAATAATCTGTTTTTACRACACCTCCCCACATAAATACTTCACAGCGTGGAAGCAGAAAGTTTGGAGCTAAACTGCGTCAGAAGCAGCAGAAGGTGCTGCTGCACTTCTGCTTTTAGACTTTTCTGTTTCTGAAGCAGCTTCAGCAGCAGAATCTGCCAACAGCCGATCCATTTTTAGCCTGGAATATCTGAGAGGTGCAAGAATCCAAGAGTTCAGCTGCCGGTTTCTCTGCCGCACGTTTCATCCCCAGAACTTTCTGCTTCTGAACATTAGGTGTCAGTAGTGAGATGTCAAAATAAAACTCCTCTCTCGCCACAAACAGACCCACGTCTCCTAAAAATTAAACCCTGAAGTTCAACTGAGAAACACCAAACTCAGGTTTATTTAGA